CTGCTATCAAAGTGGTTTTGTAGACTAGCCCAGCTGATCTGATTATTTACGAGTATTATTATCGTGTTCAGCTTCATATTTCTGTCAGAACCGGTGTTTTCGTCTCGTCGCTATTCATTTCGTCTGCTTGCTCTTTTGTATTGTGTCTTGCTATCCTAAATCTCATCCATTAAAATCAATCCTATATCAGCTGCGGATTCATCCCGTGCCGTTGTTCTAAAGCCATTCAGCGGCGTTGATGTTGACATTGATCGAGATTTGTTGGGGCATTATTGCTTTTGAGCATCTACTATCACACACAATTGGGTTAGTGGTCACTTGATATGGTATTTTTCTCTCAACAAATACTCAAAGATCTCCTCAGATTGTTTTGTTGTTATCTTGTCTCTGTACCTTAATAATATCCATTTCATTGAAGCTTCGGAATCCTCAGTTGAGATTTCGGATGTTGTCTATTGTTCATCCAAAGATTATATTATTTTAGAAATTGTTCGTCAACGAGAATAAAATATAAAGACATGATGTACATGGGGTAAACTAAGTTTGGAAGTTCAAGCGATATCACTTGAAGCGCTGAAGTTTATGAATTGATCATCCTGGCAAAGAGTGGATTGGTGGAAGTCAAGTCATGTGCTCATTGTAAAGTGCAGCACGTTGTTGCACGATAAGAGATATATCAGAAAATTAGATATGAGGAGGTGATTTTAATTAATGGCTGGAATAAGTGATACGAGACTAATACGTAAATTTGGGTGCAGTGAGTGTAAAGGTGCGTGAGGCTGAGTCCAGGAAGATCGAAGTCCAGTTCGGCGAGTTCTGCTTTCAGTTGGCATGCTGACAATTCTTGGTGTTTGTGCCATTGAATTCAAGTCTGATTTTATTTCCATTTTGATGGTTCTAGTCAGTCTCCATCATTGCATTTTTTCGTATTTTCGTACACCATGAAATGTTAGTGGGTTCCGTATGCACATATTCTTTTTCGTCAGTTATTCTTGCCAGTTGAAGCATACGCCTTTGAGCGAGAATGTGATCTTGTGACCTTTTCGGTGTC